AGTTTGCAAAACAGTAAAAAAAAAAAAACCCCAAAACAAAACTATTTCAATTTGCATGCACATTTTAAAGTGGATTTACATTCTCAAAATACAGTGACACTGAAAAGAAATTACTATACAACGTAAATTCAGGTTGGCTAAATTTTATGAAATAAAATTCAGTTCAGCTGTGATTAGCTGCTAGGAAAGACACAGCTAGGAAAGACATAGATAGGAAAGCTTGTTTTGGTTTTTCTGATAGCATGTGATTAAAATATTTTAAAGTTTTGTTAATTTATTCAACAAATAATTATTTAGCTTATCATCTGCTTAGCATAATCAATGAACAAAAAAGATGAAAATCCCTATTTAAGGAATATAAAAATTTTAAGTTAAAACCCCCCAAATTTGAAGAATTTTAGATGCCATCAGAGACCTTTAGGTAGCTATTCTTTTTCTCTATTAGAGAACTTCCTGGAAAGATTCAAGAAACAGTGGTCTAGATGTTTTCTTACTTCTCTAAATACCTAGGTAGTTACTTTGAGAATCAGAAGGCTCCTTGAGTGAGTGTGGAAAAAGTGAGCTGATGGAATTGGCAAGCTGGAGGGATACCTGTGTGACACAGATCAGTCTGGGGAATCTCATGCTCCCTTGCCAGAATGGAATAGTCCTGTGGCCAGAAATTTCATGTTCTCAGACCTGGTCTTTTCCATTGGACAGCAGTGGATCAAAACTGGGTAATTTTGCTGTTAGGATACCTTTTCCTCTGCACCATGTAGCCCATTTCCTTTTCATTCAGACAGAGTTCAGAAGTTGATTATGTTTCACCTTTTTTTGTTATAATCACATTACATTTCTTCTTCTTTGACACTATATTCCATTCTCACATGCAGTTTGCTCACCCTTTATGCTCACCCATTTCATATATACAATTTTGTCTGATTTTCTAGGTTCTCCTAAAAATGGTCTATTTGGTTATGCGCCTATTATTTACTTTTATTGAAGAAAAACATTACTTTCCATTTCTGAGGTATCTCATTTTGCTCTTATGGTCTATTATATGAAGATATAGATGGTTTATTTTATCTGATTACATAAAATTTTAGATCCTGATAATAGTCGTAAGAAAATGACAACAAACAGACATTTAAGAGTGAGCATCAATCTGCAGCTCATCATCTTTGTCCTTTTAAATCTTCCAAGTGAGGTCCTCTGATGACCTCCTATCAATTCTGTTTCCTAAAAATATCCCAGATGAGAGTTCAAGCTACACCGACCCTCTGCTTATTTCAGCTTTCTGACGATTATACTCCTAGTTGACTACCAACGGGTCCTTCACTTGCCATCCAAGTCTTGTTGGCTCCCAACTTCAATAAAGATCTGGTATGCTGGGGAAGACCTTGCATTCCTATATCCAAAGGAAATTTCCCTCCCTGACGCTATCTGTATCTCTTAACTTTCCTACATGCTGGTTCTCAGGATAGGGCTTCGAGATCTAGTATCTTGCTTTTGCCAGTTTCCTTCCCTGAAGGCTTCCTACTCCGGTCCTGACCCCAGTGTCTGGTTTCAGCTGCTTTATGAAAACTCTCTTTGAGGATGATAACCACCTGCCTTACTCCTGAGCATAGCCCACCCTGGAGTCTGGGATATTGTGCTTTTCCAAGTCCCTCTATTTGCCTGGGAAAGCCTAGTGTTTGTTTTTGCTGAGTTGGAAATGTCATGAATTCATTTAGCTTTGGCTCCCTTAGCTTATCCACCACCAACTTCCTTTTTAACAAGGTGACGTGCTTGGTCTCAGCTTCATTGGAAATGTCATGAATTCATTTAGCTTTGGCTCCCTTAGCTAATCCACCACCAGCTTCCTTTTTAACGAGGTGACATGCTTGGTCTCAGCTTCTCTCTCTTTGTCTGAGATTTCCTAGGAAGAATCTTTATTTCCAGCGATTTGCCTTCTGAATTTTAACCACCTTAAAAAAAATTATTAGCCCTTTTTACTCCTACATATAACTTTCTTTTAAAAATATTGAAAATGGTCCTCTGGCTTTCATTGAAAATTAACTATTTCATTCCAGATATCATTAACTCAGAGAATCCTGTACTGAGTTCATTGTAACACAAAAATTCTTGCAAAGATTGAAATAT